ATTTCTGCCCAAAGAATCCCATGGACAGAGGAATCTGGTGGGCTACAGTCCATAGGGTGCAAAGAGTTGGACATGACTGAGTGCAAATGCAAACTTATCAGTTATGATATGATTGGCATGGTAACTAATGTTCTCGGTATTTTAATTTCATTATCTATAAAACAGGATAAAATTTCTACTGAGTCTAAATGTCTATTGTAAAAATTAAGAGAAATAATCTATCACATGTTAGGAATAGTATCCTGGTCCATTATGAGTATTTCATAAATATTAGCTATTACTTTATTATTGCTAATATTGCTCCTCTTTGAAATTCAAAGTAACCTATCATTATGCGTGTCTACCATCTGAGAGAAGATTTCATGTACATTATCTTATTTAACTTGAATTACAATGGTTTTTTTAAATTGATACTTAATTTTTTAAAGATATTTCTGATGTAGATCATTTTTTAAAGTCTTTATTGAACTTGTTAAAACATTGCTTCTGTTGTTTATGTTCTGCTTTTTTGGCTGCTAGATATGTGGGATTACTAATTCCCTGACCAAGGATGGAACATATACCAACCGCATTTGGAAGGCACAGTCTTAACGACTGGACGGCCAGGGGAGCTCTGAAACTACACATTTCTGAAATAGGAATCACTATTTGTATTTTAAAGATGAGGAGACCTAGATCCAGATATTTTAAGTGACTTCTGTAAATTCTTACAAAGACTGAGTGCTACAACCAAATTCCCACACAGATTTCCTGACATCATGTTGAGGGCACTTTTTTTTCACTGCACAAGAATTTCCCTTTTCGAGTTTGTCACCAACTACTCCCAGGGATGGGAGAGCCTGGTGGGCTGCTGTCTATGGGGTCACACAGAGTCAGACACGACTGAAGCGACTTAGCAGCAGCAGCAGCCGCAGCACTCCATTGTAAAGAATACTGGTTAATAATTTTGGCTATGAATTTGAAGCCAGCATAAACAATTACTTGCAATTCACACAAATTCACAAAGGTTAAACTTTCTTAACTGTAAAAGATGCATAATGATGCTCATCTTTATAAACTTATTAAAAGGATTCAGTTCAGTTCAGTTCAGTCGCTCAGTTGTGTCTGACTCTTTGTGACGCCATGAATCGCAGCACGCCAGGCCTCCCCATCCACCCCGTCCCTCACCAACTCCTGGAGTTTACACAAACTCATGTCCATCGAGTCGGTGTTGCCATCCAGCCATCTCATCCTCTGTCATCCCCTTCTCCTCCTACCCCCAATCCATCCCAGCATCAGGGTCTTTTCCAATGAGTCAACAATTCTCATGAGGTGGCCAAAGTACTGGAGTTTCAGCTTCAGCATCAGTCCTTCCAAGGAANATTTTGTTTTTTCATTACCAGACCCTAATCTTCTATACAAAGTCAAGTGGGACTTAGGAAGCATGAACAAAGCTAGTGGAGGTGATAGAATTCCAGTTGAGCTATTTCAAATCCTAAAAGATGATGCTGTGAAAGTGCTGCACTCAATATGCCAGCAAATTTGGAAAAAGCAGTCACCACAGGACTGGAAAAAATCAGTTTTCATTCCAATTCCAAACAAAGGCAATGCCAAACAATGTTCAAACTACCACACAATTGCATTCATTTCACTAACTAACAAAGTAATGTTCAAAATTCCCCAAACCAGGCTTCAACAGTACTTGAATCAAGAACTTCCAGATGTTCAAGCTGGATTTAGAGAAGGCAGAGGAATGAGAGATGAAATTGTTAATATCTGTTGGATCACAGAATAAAGCAAGATAATTTGAGAAAAACATCTATTTCTGCTTTAGTGACTGTGCCAAAGCCTTTGACTGTGTGGATCACAACAAACTGTGGAAAATTCTTAAAGAGGTGGGAATACCAGACCACCTTACTTGCCTCCTGAGAAACCTGTATGTAGATCGAGAAGCAACAGTTAGAATCGGACATGGAACAATAGACTGGTTCCAAATTGGGAAAGGAATACATAATGACTGCATATTGTCCGCCTGCTTATTTAATTTATATGCAGATTACATCATGCAAAATGCTAGGTGGGATGAAACACAAGCTGGAATCAAGATTGCCAGGAGAAATATCAATAACCTCAAATATGCAGATGACACCACCCTAATTGCAGGAAGCAAACAGGAACTAAAGAGCCTCTTGATGAAGGTGAAAGAGGAGAGTGAAAAAGCTGGCTTAAAACTCAATATTTAAAAAGTGAAGATCATAGCATCTGGTCTAATCACTTATTGGCACATAGATGGGGAAACAATGGAAACAGTGACAGACTTTATCTTCTTGGGCTCCAAAATCACTGCAGATGGTGGATTGCAGCCATGGAATCAAAAGACACTTGCTTCTTGGAAGAAAAGCTATGACAAAAGTAGACAGCATATTAAAAAGCAGAGACATCACTTTGCCAATAAAGGTCCTTATAGTCAAAGTGATGGTTTTTCCAGTAATCAAGTATGAATGAGAAAGTTGGACCATAAAGAAACCTGAGTGCCAAAAAATTGATGCTTTTGAATTGTGGTGTTGGAGAAGACTCTTGAAAGTCCCTTGGACTGCAAGGAGATCAAACAGTCGACCCTAAAGGAAATCAGCTCTGAATATTCATTGGAAGGACTGATGCTGAAGCTGAATTCCAATACTTTGGCAACCTCATGCAAAGAGTCAACTCATTAGAAAATCCCCTGATGCTGGGAAAGATTGAAAGCAGGAAGAGAAGGGGACGACACAGTATGAGATGGTTGATGGCATCACCAACCCGATGGACATGAGTTTCAGCAAGCTCTGGGAGATGGTGAAGGACAGGGAAGTCTGATGCGCTGCTCTCCATGGGGTCGCAAAGAGTTGGACACGACCAAGAGACTGAACAATAATAATAACAATCTTCCCTATGCTTATCTCTGTCTATTGAAAATGTACCCTTCTTTCATAGAGAGATGTTTCCCTTTGTCCCAAAGCACTGTCTTATCCTCCAAATAGATAAAGATCTACAGCCCTGTGCCAAGCTCTGTAGAGCTAAATAGGTTTCACCATTCAGAATTTTATCTTATTTTATAGTTAAGAGTGTATGTCTTATATAATATGTATTCTGTTTTAGTTCTTAAAGTTTAGTTCTTTAGTTCTTAAGACCTAAAACAGAATCCCACAATTAAACACAATAATATTTTTGCTGAAAATAGTACATATGTTCATATTAATTTGGATAAATAAAGACTATACATGGGTTTATATCAGTTCAAGCCATATATTCTAACATATGCAGATCAGGCTAGAAAGTGGTTTCCAAATAATTAAATTTAAAACAGTTTGTGTTCAGTTGTTTTGATTTTATAATTACACATAAAGAATTGTAGATCTGTATGAACTCCTTCTGTCCCCTACCTCCCTATTCCTAACAAGTTTATTAGGTTCTTTCTTGAGGTTATGTGGGATTCTGCCTAGCATGATTGTGTAATTACTCATCTTAGCTTCTGTTACTTAGGATCTCTAAGGGTAGGAAGTGTGTCTTCATCTTTGTATGTTTCTCAGGATCAAGGATATTGTTAAATCCTACTAGGTATTTAGGCACACTTTATAAACAAGAAGCTATCACACCAATATTCCGAATGTGTAGATACTGCTAAAAGCACTGGTCTTCCAAATATGGCAATACTTTTTTTCATGGTCATTAATATACATTGAGTCATTATTCAAGCACATTTCTTTGGAAAGAAACAGTGTAAACGATGCTGGTATTGAGTCCCAAGAAGATCTCTTGAAGAACTTAACCTAATTTAGGTCGGCCTAAATTAGGATTCCAGAGGAGGTAGGTAATGCCCCCAAATTTCAAATTCTAATCTAAATTTGGGAAATTAGAACATGATGGGGGAACATTCTTAGCATCTTATTGTCAGTGTGCAGTTAAGTCATTAAAAATGTAATGATGATATTCTTTGACTAAAATTAACTTCATCCTATGTGTTTGTGAACCTTTTTGTTCCAAGTTATGATTTACTTTAGAAGGAGCAGTAATTTTTGCCATCTCACCTATATGCTGTCCATACATGTGATAAAAGAAACTGAAACAGTACGCAGTGTTCGTGGGTCCATAAGGGTTTTTGGGAGCTATGCTGAAAACAGGGCTGAGAAGTCGAGCCTTTTCTCCTTCTAATCTGGGTCGAGATGTCTCAATGTACATATAAAAACCTTTAAAAAGACAAAATGTGCAGGCAAATTATTAGTAGGTGACATGAAATTTAAAATCACTGAGAGGTTATAATTTTCATATATATTAATAGTAAAATTGATAGGAAAGTCTGCATCTTATAAAAATCTATATAGTATAAAAATAAATAATATACATAATTAAAAATATTTTTTTCAATGTATAAAAATGAGGCAAAACTGGAATTTAAGACTTGAGTTGTCAAAAAAATTCCTAATCTCTTTATATAGGTCAGTAAGTTCTCAGTGAAAATTAATGATTACAAGCTTTGGAAATAACTGAATACTTGATATGATAAATAAAAATTTCATATTTTATTCCAAAATCTTTAAATCTATAGCTGAACATTCTCTTGCATTTCATATTTAGCATAATAGCATTTCTAAAAGTCCAAGGCTGGTGTATGATTGATATGAACACAACATTTCATACCCTCATACCTTCTTTGGAGCCACTACGATCAGCATTAGGTCCAGTGTTTGGAGTATACTTTGTATTTCTTGTTGCAGTACTTTGTTTTGTCCAGTCAAAATTGTCTGTATCATCTTGGGTAAACAAACAAATGTTACCATCTTCAAATCCACAGTGAAATTCTCCTGTTGGCAAATTTTAATTACAATAAGTTAAAGTAATGCAAACACTGCAACAGTCTTCTAAGAAAAATTTAAAACATACAGCAATAATAATGCAAGGTTGCAATAATGGCACCATAGCCAAAATAATGTGCAATATGACATGTAAACCTAAAGCTACTTCAATTTTAATGGAAATGAAAAATAATCTTGATGTGTAAATCAGCCTCTTACTTAACAGTTTAAACCCAAACCATTTTCCTCTGAAGTATCCAAATAATTGAAATTAAAAGAATGTGCTGCCTGCTTGAATTATGGCTGAAGAATTTCCCAACTTTCCTTCTTCAAGTATAGGAACAATCCAAACAGAACAATTAGAAAAAGGTCTTAATTAAACTACCTTATGGCACTTTAAAGCTGTCTACCTTGAGCCTACAATATTTCACACCACGTATGCAGATGCTGTCACACATACTCATTTGCACAAATGGAGGTTTACTTAAGGAAAGATAACGGCAAATTATTTTTAAAAAGTAGTTATCTTTCATACTTTATTTGAATGTGGATTTGCCAGATGCTTAATATTCACTAGAAATAAAGTAATGAAAAGACTTTATGAAGAACCTGTGGAAGGACTGGGATTTCTTGGATGCCGGCCACATGCTGAGCTCAGACCAAACAACAAGTTCAGAGAATGGTAGTAATGTTTCTAGGTATTAAAGGGTTTTCTTACTGGAATGGGCCCTGCTTGAAACACAGGAGTAAACAATATTCTTAATTGAAAAAATAAATAAAGCTTACATTATTTCATTCAAACTTTCAGAACTCTATGAAAATACAGAAATATTAACTCATGAGGTTCACAGAAAAGAAAATTTTGGCTAATTTAAGCTTGTAAATAATGAAGTTAAAACTGAGTACAGATACACTTCAGTTCATAAAGTTATAGACATCTAAATAATAAAGACTCCATATTTTCCCCCTGTAATAGGTTAATTTATGAGATATTCTTGGGAGTGGAGCCCTTGAAGTTGGAACCATGCTCCTGAATTAATCTGTGTCTCGATACACTAACAATGAATTTTCAGAAAAGTGAATTAACAAAATTATCTCATTTTCATTAGCCTCAAAAAGAATAAAATACTTGAGATTAAACTTAGCCTAATATATAAAAGACTTATACATTGAAAACTACAAAACATTGATGACAGAAATTAAAGAGGACACAAATAAATGGAAAGACATCTTATATTCTTGTATTGGAAGAATTTGTACAGTTAAAATATCTTTACTACCCAAGGTGATCTTTAGAGTCAATGCATCCTCTCTGAAAATACCTGTGGCATTTTTTTTTTAACAGAAATAGAAAAAAAAAAAAGTTCCTAAAACTCTTATGGAACCACAAAAAACTTGTATACTATTGGTTGGAATATAAATTGGTACAGCTATTATGAAAAATAGTATGAAGTTTCCTTAAAAAAAATCTAAAGACAGAACCACCATATTATCCAGTAATATCTCGTAAGAACATACATCCAAAGAAAATGAAATGAGTACCTCAGAGATATGTGCTCTCCATGTCCACTGCAGTATTATTTGCAAAATAATATTATTTGAAAGTCAAATATTATTTGAAAAATAATATTATCTGAAAGTTGTTCAGTCATGTCCGACTCTCTTCAACCCCGTGGACTATACAGTACTAACCCAAGTTTTCATTAATGGATGAATGAGTAAAGAAGTTATGGCAGATACATGCAATGGGATATCATTTAGCCTTGAAAATGATTATCCTGCCATTTGCAATAACATGGATAAACCTGGAGGACAGTATGGTTCTCTTGACAGCAAACAATATTTGCTTTTAGTTAAAAATTTCAAACAAAAGATTTTTTTTAAAAAGATACTCTGAATAGAAAGACTTCCTCAATTGAATTTAAGACATAAGTTTTTTGAGGCTAACGAAGAACAAGACTATGACAAAATTTCATAAACTTACTCTATAAAATATTTTGGAAGTGGATATTTAGGATAAATAAGTTGATTTAAAGACTATGTAAGTCAATAAAATGCAAAAGGACATTTAAGAGTAACTTGATTTATTGCCAATATATGAGGTCTCATATCATAATTATTATCATATTAAATGTAATATATATTTAAATATATTGTTGAAATCATTTTATTCTATTAAAAAGAATTTCAAATAAACTAGAATTTTATATGTAAGTCAATATAAATTCAAACCATTTAAAAATTTTTATTATCAAAATGATCTTTTTTGGAAGAAATATTGCTAAATTTTAGTTTAAGAGTCAATGATGCATAAGTCACATGTCAATTATAAATAATATATAAGAAGAAAGATTTGGAAACATTTTATTCATTTTAAGAAATAACTTAGAATTATAATAGAAATACTTAATGTTTGTATTGTTGCTGTTGCTCATTCATTAAGTCGTGTCTGGTTCTTTGGGATTCCATTAACGGCAGCATTCCAGGCTTCCCTGTCCTTCACCATCTCTCCGAGTTTGCTCAAACTCATGTCCATTGAGTAGGTGATGCCATCCAACCATCTCATTCTCTGCTGTCCCTTTTTCCTTCTGCCTTCAATCTTTCAAAGCATCAGGGTCTTTTCCAATAAGTCATTTCTTCCCATCCTGTGGCCAAAGTACTGGAGCTTCAGCTTCAAGAAGCAAGCATCTTTTATTTTTATGACTGCAGTCATCATCCACAGTGATTTTGGAGCCCAAGAAGATAAAATCTTTCACTGCTTCCACTTTTTCTCCATCTGTTTGCCATGAAGTAATGGGACTGGATGCCATGATTTGCACTTTTTGAATGTTGAGTTTTAAGTTTTAAGCTAACTTTCTCACTTTCATCTTTCACCCCATCAAGAGGTTCTTTAGTTCCTCTTTGCCTTCCACCATTACGTGGTACCATATGCATATCTGGGGTTATTGATATTTCTCTCTCACAATCCCAGATTGTGAGTCATCCAGCCTTGCATTTCACATGATGTATTCTGCATATACATTAAGATAAGCAATGTGACAATACACAGCCTTGACGTACTCCTTTCCCAATTTTGAACCAGTCTGCTGTTCCATGTCCAGTTCTAACTGTTGCTTCTTGTCCTACATACAGGTTTTTCAGGAGCCAATTAAAATGGTTTGATATTTCTATCTCTTTAAGAATTTTCCACAGTTTGTTGTGATCTACACAGTCAAAGGTTTTAGTGTAGTAAATAAAACAGAAGTAGATGGTTTTCCGAAATTCCCTTGCTTTATTCTATGATCCAGCAGATGTTGATAATTTGATCTCTGGTTCTTCTGCCTTTTCTAAATCCAGCTTGTACATCTGGAAGTTCTAGGTTCATGTACTGTTGAAGCTTAGCTTGAAGGATTTTGAGCATTAGTTTTCAGGCAAGTGAAATGAGTGCAATTTTATGGTAGTTTGAGCATTCTTTGGCATTGCCATTCTTAGGGATTTGAATGAAAACTGACCTTTTCCAGTCCTGTGGCTACTGCTGAATTTCCAAATGTGCTGGCATATTGAGCGCAGCACTTTTACAACACCATCTTTTAGGATTTTAAATAGTTCAGCTGGAATTCCATCACTTTAATTAGCTTTGTCTGTCATACTGTTTCCTATGGCCCATTTGACTTTACCCTCCAGGATGTCTGGCTCTGGGTGAGTGATCACACCATCGTGGTTATCTGGGTCATTACGACCTTTTTTGTACAGTTCTCCTGTGTATTCTTGCCATCTCTTTTCAGTTTCTTCTGCTTCTGTTAGGTCCATAGTATTTCTTTCCTTTATTGTGCCCATCCTTGCATGAAATGTTCCCTTGACATCTGCAGTTTTCTTGAAGAGGTCTCTAGTCATTCCCTTTTCATTGTTTTCCTCTATTTGCATTGAAGAAGGCTTTCTTATCTCTCCTTGCTGTTCTCTGACATTCTGCATTCAGCTGGGTCCATCTTTCCCTTTGTCCTTTGCCTTTTGCCTCTCTTCTTTTCTCAGCTATTTGTAAGTCCTCATAATTTGTAAGGCAAGACAACCACCTTTCCTTCTTGCATTTCTTTTTCTTGGGGTTGGTTTTAGTCACCTACTCTTGTACAATGTTACAAACCTCTGTTCATAGTTCTTCAGGCACTCTGTCTTTCAGATCTAAGCCCTTGAATCTATTTGTCACCTCCACTGTATAACCATAAGAGGTTTGATTTAGGTCATACCTGATAGGCTCGGTGGTTTTCCTTACTTTCTTCAATTTAAGCCTGAACTTTGCAATAAGGAGGTGATGATCTGAGCCACAGGGAACTCCAGGTCTTGCTCTATCTGACTGTATAGAGCTTCTCCATTTTTTGGCTGCAAGAATATAATCAATTTGATTTTGGTATTGACCATTTGGGGATGTCCATGTGTAGAGTCGTCTCTGTTGTTGTTGAACAAGGGTGTTTACTATGATCAGTGTGTTCTTCACAAAACTCTGTTAATCTTTGTCCTGCATAATGGTTTTAATTACAGTGTTTTCTCAGATTTTTTTCCCTTGAACTGCTTGATTTTCATTTTCACTTCAATTTCACTAACAGTATCATTACTGGGCAGGTACCTTTTAGTAAACTGTGGAGAATAAATACTAAGTAAGTTGTAACTAATTAGAATAATAGCAAAATTATAGTAACATAAAACAAGTTTGCGAGGGACTGAGGTACAAGGAAGCTGAACTACAAAGCAACACAGAGAAATTTTAGGGGTAATGAAACCTTGTGGTGATGGTTATATGACTGTTTAAACTGGTCAACACTTGTCTCATAAGTGTACACAAAATATGGTAAATTCTATCATGTGTAGGTTATACCTTGAAAATAAATGACAAAATTTAAAATACTGTAGCATTTAAGGAAAGTAGGTAAAAGTAGTCTTAGGGAATGAAAAATTAACTTTCCCTAGCAAAAATCTAAAATAAAACATGACCTTCTTGTACACATTGGCCTATTTTCCTTTCTTACTGAATAGCTCGTGTATTGAGAACCCGAATCTATAATGAATGACTTTGATAAAGTACTGTTATATGTGTTTGGGACCTGGAGGTGGTAATGAAGCTTAAAAAAATCAATTAATAATAAAAAATGCATTTGACTGTCAAAAATATAAAAATAATTACTTTCTTTTGATAACTTAGAGAAATCATTAGGTAATATTTACTTAATTCTTTTTTCTAAACAACTTTCATATTCTACCATATTGACTATCATTAAAAAAATTCAAAAGGTACACAGCCAATGGAAATTTTGGTATAGAATGTTATGTTGTTATGTTGGAAATTACTTTAAAAATAGAAAATCCAATGCATCATTTGGGTTTCCATTTTACACATTTGAAGCCCTTGCTGAGGAAGAGAAGTTGATAGCTATGACTTGAAGGATACAAGTTTTAAAGGAAGCATTCGAATTCTAATAAATATTGTCCATATTTAGGGCACATTTCTGACTTAAATAACTTTTGAACATTGTACACCAGACAAATGGAGCTTTGTTCAGTTATTATGTATGTGAACATGATCTCCTTTTCAATGACAGGCAAGCCTTTCCTCACCTTCTTTACCTGAGGGACCTCTATTAAACTTTCAGGATCCAGCTTTGATATTATCTCTTCTGTAAGATTTTCTCAGCTGCCATAAAATAATGGTGCTCATTATATTGGACTGAGGTAATCAGTTAACAATCACTTCCTGTCTATAAATATGTATGCATTTTATTCAGTAGATAGACTGTTCAAAATTCTTTCCTTGAATTGAAATACTTGTCAACTTTCCCCTGTATTTACTTTTAATCTTTCTATGATAACTATTTTTAAACATTTCTACTGAAAGTGCAGTCAGAGAACTTACCTTCAAAGGAATTATAGTCAATAAAGTAATTAATTAGCAATAGTACCCTGAGTAGAAGCCATGGAGAATTTTATTTATGCCATTAATTCATCTTGAAACTATCATGCATTTGTTCTTTTAACAAATGATCATTGAACACCTGCTAAACATGAGATGCCATTATAGACACAAAGATAGTGAAATATGGAGAGAAACTAGAAATGAATTTAGTTCTTAAGTATCTTACAGTTTACTGGAGGATATGAGAAAATAAAAAATAACTTCCACATGGATGAAGATAAATTGTAATTGAAAATCAAAATGAGGGAGTAATTAGTGGCAGAAGAAGCATTTGTGCTAAACATTATAAGAAAAATGAACCTCAAAGAGTTGATAATAATAGCCTCATTAAAAGGTCATTGGGATGATTAAATGAACTTTTATGCATTGAGGCAAGATGTGAACAATAAAGATCTATAAAAATATTCAGTATTAGTGTTTGGCTATGCAAAAGCAGGATAAAAGGGGATCTTTGGGAGGAAACACAGAAAGAATAGAGCCTATGTAATTTGGTCTTTGTTATATAGTCAGTTAAAGGCCAAAGAAGAAAACAGAATACAGTAAAATGAAAAAAAACAGATTTGGACATCTTCTTCACTAAGGATAGGAAATTGAGAATGTTGAAAGGAAATGAGTAAGAGTACAAAGATGGCTCCTTTTTCTTTGTTAGACAAGAATACCTTGCTAGACACAAAATAGGGGACAAAAATCAATTCTTAATTTTAAAATGAAATATTATTAAGAGGATTGTGATCAAATTATTTTTTCTTCATATAAGACTGGAATATGGAATAGTGATTAGTGAAAAATCTTGACTGAACCATAAAAATACCAACTTTCTAAGTGAATATAATATTTCATGAGTGGAATATAGAAGTCAAACGGTAAAAATTAAAGACATAAATAATAGCAATACAAATAATATACAATGCCACAAAAGGAACAAATAAACCACAGTTACACAAATAACAATTGTTAAGCATGTTGGAGAAATGGCTCAATATTTAGGAGAAGTCAATTATCTATATTAAATTATTTGTCTTTATGCCCATAGTCTTTAAAATGCAAAGTTTACAATTAACACCAGTTTTACTATTTCTAAGACACTCTATGTCAACCCAAATATGAACAATTGATAAGTAACCTTTGTATGTTTATGTATTTTTTATTTGTATTAATTGTCAAATATAGTGCCATTTTTAAAGTGGAAATATACTTACTCAAATGAGGATTAACAGGAGCTACAAGAAAAGCAAAAAATAATGTTAGCATGGCTTAAATGTTTTTTATAAATAAAAGTCTAATCAGCGTCTCATAAGTGCCTAGCTAAAACTTAATGATCTTCCCCACTGTGGCCAGAGAGAATTATATCTGCAATCCATTTTGTTCTAGAAGACTGAATAGAGTTTACTTTGGAACTCAGCAATAACAGCCTCAAAGTACCCAAATGATCAATGCTAAATGGCACACGGGATTTGTTCATTTCCCAAGGTATAGAGTAGCTGATTTTTTATATCTTAAACATTGCTAAACAAAACCAAGTAATCAAAACTGAGGCTGACAAGCTATAATCTCGATGTTTTAACAATGAATGCAATTATCTAACAGAGAATACACGTCAGTTTTTTTTGCTATTGTCTACTTCTGTTTAAAATATATGGTATATATGAAAATAAAGCAATCCTCAAATCATGTCATTGTGTGTGAGCCAAAACAAATAGCAACTTTGATGCTGTTTTAATTACTTTCACACACATACACAGTTTTCAAATGATAGGTAGTGCATTTGCATTTTTGCAATATTTATCTCAAGAAGAAATATTTATCTCAAAAAACTAATTGTGTTTACAAGGGCCAATTGATTTCTACCTGAAAAGTGAATATTTTAAATATTACTGAAGCAAAAACAAAACTATATCTATCCTAAGAGACAAAATGGTATCTGTATATATTGATTAAGCATCTATCACTCTGAGAGAAAATTTCATTCTGGATGAAAGAAAGCATTATTGCACTCTCCTAAGATTAAAATGGGTTGTTAATCTAACCTCCAGAATATTGTCTATTTTGTTGCTAGTTCCTAGTGTTTGCCAAAAGCACTTTTGTTAGACTTGGACATAGTAGTAAAATACAAAATGAATGTCATAAATGCACACATGTGAACAAAGCATCTTCATATAAAATTTGTACATTTAGTACAGTGAGATCAATTTTAACAAAGTGATTAGTTTATCAACAAATTACTTTTTACTATTTCTACATCAAGAAGACAGAGTATTCCCGTTATTTTAGCTGCTCTACTTGTATTTGCCCCATTGCAAATTATGAAATTAATAACATAGAGAAGGGACTATACATTTATTAGTTCTACTGAAAAACAGGAAAAAAAAAATCCCTTTTTTGCAAGGTGCATGCGTGCTAAGTTGCTTCAGTCATGTCCAACTCTTTGCAACGCTATGGACTGTAGCCCACCAGTCTCCTCTGTCCATGGGATTCTCCAGGCAAGGATATTGGAGTGGGTTGCCAGGAACTTCTCCAGAGGATCTTCCACACCCAGGGATAAAGCTGCATCTCATTATGTCCCTTATATTGCAAGTGGGTTCTTTACCACTAGAGCCAGCTGGAAAGCCTCAGGTATCAGTATGTTTTAATTTGAAAATTAACTATTTACTNTCTGGTTTTGGAATTAGGGAAATGGTGGCCTCATAGAATGAGTTTGGCAGTTTACCTTCTTCTGCAATTTTCTTAAATTAAAATTATTTTATAATTAGGATAATATAAATTTTAATTTTATATATTGTTTTTGAAAGAAGTAAGCATTTTGAATTATAATTTAGTTCTAAGCATTGTCACAGCTATATGTATCCTGTGACCAGACTGAATTTTGACACTTCTACAATATTTTAGTCCGCAAATTCACTACAAATATAATGACTAACCTTGTAAAAATTTGCCATTCTAATTTGAAATATTGCAGTAAGTCTACTTTTCTTCTTTAAAACTATTAATAGCATGTTGAATTTCTTATGGATGCCTATAGACAATGTATGCTTACACACACTAAACTATACTTTATCCAAATCGATAGTATATAAAAGCAAATTTTAATGAAAATGTTTAAGATTTTAATAAGCATGACAAGTTATAAAGATAATTAAAAAGAAAGTTGGAACTAAACACAATACTTAATTTCCAGATTTATTTTTCATTTGTTTGTTACATCAGAGTTTTCAATAAAAACTAAATTGAGTTTCCAAATATTTTTTTTTCTATATCTCTGTAAGACAAGTTCTAGTAATTTCTAAACTGAGCAAATAGGTAAAGACTTCTGTCATTTAGGAGTGATCTCTAGTTTTCATCAGTTAGTCATGTCATATAATTGTTTACTGAGACAGGACATTGAAACTTTCTGGGTCTTAATATCTTCACCTTTAAAAGAGTATTAATTATGGTTTCTAATGCCCTCCATATATTACATAGTTTGCAGTAATAGTTTACACATAGTTTACACCTTGGAGGAAAGGGAGCATAAATATTAGGAGGAGATAATTCATATTTTATAAAAATATTTGATGCTAAAACTTTAGACAATTATACTGAGATGTAATGTAGTTGTTTGTTTGATGGAATCATGAAAGCGATTACAGAAAAGCAGTTGCTATTCTGCTCTAATATTTATATCATTAAGATAAAAAGTTACATTTTAAAAAGAATCATATTCAAGAAAATATATGCAGTGACTCTAATGTTTCTCTATTCCTTGATCTTATATGAATATTCCATTATTTTCCATATTTCATTTTCTAATGAAGATTGAATTTGTCATGCCCAATGTATACTCTGACTGATGAGAGCAAATACAGGTAATCTTGTAACTCTAGTGAGGTTTTAATAATTTCACTTTATTTTTTATTTTGACAGTATTCATTGTTGCCCTTATAAGTAGGAAAACATACTTATTGCTAAACAGAATGGAAAACTTCAGCTGCAAAAACCATCATTCTATTATCTTTTAAACTCAAGCCTTAATCAATAATAAAAAGAAAAATAGTCTACTGAGGTAACAAAACATACAGAACTTTGAAAAATACATTTGATTTTAGAGCTAGGCTTTGAGCACAATAAATTTTAACCAAAAAATGCATATAAATTTCAAATGATAAAATATTAATCTGTCAGGTATATATGAAAAATCATATCATATCAATCAACATTATTCCTATTTGAACTATTAGAAGTTTTTGATCAACTTTGTCACAGTTTTACACTATTTTCTACATTTGTTTAAGTAGGACATTTAAATAGTAAAGAAATAATAAATGCATATTGTTTATAAGGGAAAATTATCACTAACATATACACATTAAATTCAGTGTTCTAAAGGAAAAAAAAACGATGAAAGAAAATCAACTAAGATGTTGTTCAATAAGTGCATGGTAGGGAAAAAAAACGATGAAAAAAAATCAACTAAGATGTTGTTCAATAAGTGCATGGTTAAACAATCTGTGGTATGCCTATGCTATGGGAAATTACTTGACAATAAAAAATAATGAGCTATCAGGCCACACAAATTTATATAAAAGCTTTAAATGTATATTGCTAAATACAATAAATCAGTTTGGAAAGGTTATATGTTGCATGATTCCAACTCAACATTTTGGAAAATGCAAAACTGTGTAACATAAAAACTGACCCCTGATATAAACTATTGACTTTAATGATATATCAATATTTGTTAATCAACTGTTAACAAATATGCCACATTAATGTAAGATGTAAATAGTAGGGAAGCTGTGACAAGAGAGGACATACATGGGAACACTGCACTTCCTACTCAATTTAATGTGAATTTAAAGCTACTCCAAAAAATGAAAAAAACTTAAAAATTCAATCATATTTCCTAACTTCTTGATATAAATTTTAAAATCATTAAGAATTTGTGAAAAATGTATACATACTGCCTCATAACTATGACATAGAAAATATTAAGACATTCATGACATTATCTCTGAGATTCAAAGTTAATTAAGCACTTGTCTATACCTCTATATTCAAAGCTAAATATTACAATTTATGATGATTAAGTATTACAGGATTTTTTTTTCTCACTTGGCTAATGGCCCAGAAAGTCAGTATGTTAAATTTTAGTTTGTGTCTAAATTTGGTAGATAGTTACAACTTTCTAGATAGTTTAGTATATAAATAAATTCTTTTAAACAAAATGTTACTTACCACTATATTTGATGACACGAATTGTTGAATCTCCTTCGCCAAATTTGGTGAGAGGAGTCAGTCGGACTTCATAAGCCTCTGGTTTAATTAGCTCGGTCAAATTATATGTAATTAATTCTCCCTTTTGGATATTCCCATTTATTTTAATCTCTTGTTCCCACCATCGCTGCTGTCCAGCCTGAAATTAAAATAATTATACAATAATGTTCCTGATATTTTTAACTGTGTGTTGATCATGTGGTTAAGAATACTATTGCTGGAGATTCTTTAGGGCCTAGGACAAAGTTGTATTTCACTAAAGATGTACCTTTGTTTCTGACATTCTGCAAGGGGTCTTAACAGTATGGTTCACTTTTACTTTAAATATGAAACCCTTTGGTGTCACAGATTAAAATGAAGATGGTCCCTTTTTGGGGTGCTAAGTCGCTTCAGTCATGTCCGACTCTTTGTGACCCTATGGACCGTTGCCCAGCAGGCTCCTCTGTCCATGGGATTCTCCAGGCAGGAATACTGGAGTGGGTTGCCATGCCCTCATCCAGGGGATCTTCCCAACTCAGGGATCAAACCTGTGTCTCTTACATCTACTGTGTTGGCAGGTGAGTTCTTTACCCCTAGTGTCATCTGGGAAGCCCTTGCTTTGGATAGGACTTGGGTTTTCATTCCTTACCACCTCCAAACTCTAAGAATCAAAGTTCAAGTTTGTCTGGATTGGTTAGTAACTGAAGGAAAAGCAATATATATATACTATATATGTTAATATGTACACACCATTGTTGTTGTTTACTCACTAAATCATGTCTGACTCTTGGGGACCCCATGGACTATAACTGGCCAGGCTCCTCTGTTCATGGGATTTCCCAGACAAGAATACTGGGGTGAGTTGCTATTTTTTTTTCAGGGGATCTTCCTAACCCAAGGATTAGACCTGTGTCCCCTGTATTGGCAGACAGATTCTTTACTGCTAAGCCACCAGGGGAAAAAAATTATCATATATATAAAAAATATATATATATACACACACATATATATACATATATTTGTTTATTTGCTTGTTTTCTGAGGGTGGGTTACTGTTAATTATATCACCTAGCCTGCTATATTTCTAGAAATGAAAATCTCAAGTACATGCTATTAGCACAAGATTAGACAAATGACAAACAAAATAATGAAATGGAACAGAAAGCCCATATATTAATTTATGTGGGGAATTGTTCACATAGAAGACATGAAAATATATTCCACTCAATTGGTTGTGTATATAAAAAAATACATGAATGTGATCCCTATCACATATCTTATAAAGAACAGTCTCAGGAAAATCAAATACTTAAATTTAAAAGATAAAATTTAAATCATTTAGAATAACACAGAAGAATGTGATTATGATCTCACACAAGGTGTTATATTCTCAAACAGAATAGAAAAGCACAAAAAAAGACTGATAAATTAGTCAATCGTAAAATTGAAATTAACATTAAATTTAAAATTTTAACATAAACATTTCTTCTCATTGGTGCTCCACAATAAACAGGTAAAATATAAGCAGAGGTTTGGAAAAAAATATTTAGAACAAATACAGTTAACCAGAATGTATTAAAAACCCCTATAACGAAATAAGAAAAAATAATTCAATAGCAAAGAGTCTAATAGGAACAGGTATTTCATAAATGAGAAAGCCCAAATAAAGAATTACAGAAAAGGCTCAACCTCACCGTGAAACAAGGAAGTGAAAATTAAAACCACAATATTATTTCCCAGAAAAACAGAAGCTTATAAAGATAACAACATTAAGGTTTGTTGTTAACAGAAAACAATGAGAATATTTATACCTGTCAAGAGTCTGGAGCAGGGGAGGGTGGATGGGTAAGATATTAGTCTGCTTACAAGCAAACAAGTAAGCCTGCAATAGGATCATGGGCATCAGCAGAAGAGTCCTGACTACTGGGACAGAGAAAAGGATTCACAACACAGAAGGCAGCACAAGCTTTACTTTCAAACCAGTTCCCTTTGCCTCTCTATTCCCCCACAGTGATGAAGAAGTGACCAGTTGGATCTTGCACATACCTTCTGTTTGCATCACATCTCTGGGATCCTGAGCTAAAAAGACTTAAGTCTTTTATAAGTGACAGTAAGTACCCAAATCTGTCCAACCACTGCCCAAGAGGGAGACATTATATTCATTATACTAGACATTAAATGAGCTTTCCTTCTGCTCCACAGGAGGTCTCTATATTCTAAGGATGTTTGCTATGAAAATAACCTTGGAAAGATAGACTGGAATAAAAAGACAGTGCCTCTGCACATATGATATGCAAAAAATCAAGAGATCTACAGAAAGCTGTCTTCTAAAAAGATAGTCTTAGGTATATAAATTGGTATAAGTATGGAGAGCAATTTGGCAATAAAAACACTACTACAACGAGAACAGATAAACTTGTATACACAGGAAACAAAAATATTTATGGCATAGCAAACAGAGAATTATCTAATAAATATCAGTAGGAGATAGGATAATCAAATTGCAAACTTTTAATAAAGCATAATTTAATATAGAGCCTGAAAAATGAACCTAAGCCACAATACAACATCATGGATGGATTTCACAAAAGTAATATTGAAGTAAAATCAACTTCAAAGCAGATGTATTATAAAATTTAAGTTCAAAATATGTTCTTTGAAAAGGGATGCATAGACATATATTCGAGTATAAAGAAATGCAGAAAATAGTAAATACTGGTCATGTGGGATAGGAGAGCATCAAGAGGAGAATTTGCAGTTGTGAGGGGATAGCAAAACACTCAGGTGACTTTTGATTTTTTAGATTGGTAGCAGGTATATAAAAGTACATTATTTTGCCTATGCCTGAAATATTTCTCTTTGTTTTTAAAGAGAGAATTTCAGAATAAGAGTTAGAAACGGGCAACCGTGTTTTCTTAAAGCTTTTTCTCCCTTGAATTTTAAAACTGTTTTCTTGTGTCAACAGCTTCCCTCATCTACGTCTGAGGCTACTCATCCACGTCTGTTCAGCTTTTCCTTTTCCTGAGTTCTCAATGTTGGTAGTCTCTGGAGTTTTGTATCTGGTGTGGTTAATACTCTGTATTAATGCTTCTCATTTTTAGGCAAGCATGAGAGTCATGGGACAATCGTGATTAAAAACCAAAAATTCCAAGTCTTAGCTACCAGAAAGTATTTTGCTTCTGTGAAGTCTAGAAACATAATTTTTTGGTGAGTTTAGAAATACATATTTGTTTTAAAAACACCTTCTCCTTTACAGGGTAATGTGGAAGCAGGTGATCCAGGGTCTGTATTTGGCGCAGCTCAGCTGGGCTAAAGGTTTTGTCGCTAACTCTTGTCCAACTTGTGCAACCCCGTGGACTGTAGCCCATCAACTCCTCTGTCCATAGGATTTTCCAGGCAAGAATACTGGAGCAGGTTGCCATTTCCTTCTCCACAGACGGGCGAGACCACAGCATNCCTCCCTCTCTAACTCTTGTCCAACTTGTGCAACCCCGTGGACTGTAGCCCATCAACTCCTCTGTCCATAGGATTTTCCAGGCAAGAATACTGGAGCAGGTTGCCATTTCCTTCTCCACAGACGGGCGAGACCACAGCATTAATTCTAGTGGTTTCTTCCATACTTCTACATTGATTACTGTTTAACTTGTGACTTCAGATCAGATAATAAACAACAAAAACATCCTGCTACATTAATTTGTATGTATCTGCATACAATGTATCCATATACTATGTATCTGCCAGGCACCATGTTAACTGTATTATATTTACTGTATTTAGTCTAGCACAACCTTTAGTAAGCAGGAACTAATACCAGCCCTGTTACACAAATTGAGGAAACTGGGGCAGAAGGAAGTTTCTGTAGCTCTCCTAAGGTTGTCTGGAGAGTAGCAGCTACAAAATTTGGTTACACCCAAAATGACTTTATCTAGCATCATCTTCTCCTTTGCTTCCCCAGAATTTATTACTCCCTTGTTTTCACTAGTATTTTTATATATTTAGTTATAATACACTTAATAGTACTTTTTTGCACATAGATTATAAACCAGGAATAATTTCTTATTAATTTTTTTAACCTATAATGTCTGGTCATTAAGTACATAATGATGTGACAAGATTAAATTCCAGTACACAGTGTATATTCAACTGACCCAATGAGTGGAGCAGGAAATCTAACTTAGTGATAACTGCATACAGTCACTATATTTACAAACACTGGTAAAAATGTACATAAAACGTAATTCGACAGAAAGTAATTTACTTATGCATAGCTGATACTAGACATTACAAACTTCCTATCTGTTTTGGAGACTAACAGTTCTATAAAATTATATAATATAAATGAAAATTTCTTTAAATTTAAGACTCAAATAATTTAAGTCTTTGGACTTTAAATTATTATGTATGAACTAAAGGCAGTGCATTATTATTTCAGATGATAAAGGTAGTTTAAACCCACAGAATTTTAACATTGTTTTATTATCTAACCAGTCCATTCTAAAGGAGATCAGTCCTGGGTGTTCATTGGAAGGACTGATGTTGAAGCTGAAACTCCAATACTTTGGCCACCTGGTGCAAAGAGTTGACTCATTGGAAAAGACCCTGATGCTGGGAAGGATTGAGGGCAGGAGGAGAAGGGGACGACAGAGGATGAGATGATTGGTTGGCATCACCGACTCGATGGACATGGGTTTGGGTGGACTCCGGGAGTTGATGATGGACAGGGAGGCCTGGCGTGCTGCAGTTCATGGGGTCGCAAAGAGTCGGACATGACTGAGCGACTGAACTAAACTGAACTGAATAGTAAAATATTTTAAAGTTTATCAAAATCTGAACACATGGGAAAGTTCCCATCTAAACTTAAACAAGCACATGTGTTAATATGTAGTACAAATTAATATGGGTGCTTCCAACTCAGAAAAATCATCACTTTGGTCCTGGCCAGACTATCATATCTCTACCTGAGGTGAAGTGGTCCCATTATGAGAAACATGAATTCTAAAGACACAAGTGAGATTTCCCTGGTGGCTCGGTGGTAAAGAATCCACCTGCCAATGCAGGAGACATGGGTTTGATTCCTGATCTGGGAAGATCCCATACGCCGTGGAGCAACTAAGCCCATGCACCACAACCAGCCTGTGATCTAGGGCCTGGGAGCCGTAA